GGAGGTGATTCTCCCCCTCAACTCTGAGATCACACCTGGAGTGCTGCATCCAGCTCTGGGGACCCCAGCACAAGACAGACGTGGACCTGCTCGAGCGGGTCCAGAGGAGGGCCACAAAGATGATCAGGGGCTGGAGCACCTCCCCTATGAAGACAGGCTGAGAGAGTTGGGGTTGTTCAGCCTGGAGAAGAGAAGGCTCCAGGGAGACCTTATAGCAGCCTTCCAGTGCTTAAAGGGGGCCTACAGGAAAGACAGGGGTGACTCTTTATCAGTGAGTGTGGTGATAGGACGAGGGTTAATGGCTCTAAACTGAAAGAGGGGAGATTTAGATTAGGTATTAGGAAGAAATTCTTTACTGTGAGGGTGGTGAGACACTGGCACAGGTTGCCCAGAGAAGCTGTGGCTGCCCCCTCCCTGGCAGTGTTCAAGGCCAGGTTGGATGGGGCTTGGAGCAACCTGGTCTGGTGGAAGGTGACCCTGCGCATGGCAGCAGATTTGGACTAGATGATCTTCAAAGTCCCTTCCAACCCAAACTGTTCTGTGAGTCTATGAATCCCACTGCTAAGGTACATTCTGTCGAAAGAACAAAGACTGTTTACAGATAGCCAGGTCAAAACTCTTGATTTTACATTCACTCCTTCAGTGTATTTGTTCCCTAGTTATCTCCTGGACTGGTACCCAGTAGATCCCATGTCACTTCCTTGCCCTGTCAGAGACTCACTGTGATTTTAGGCAAATTACTTCTTCAGACACCTTGAGTATTGTGAGGATAAATTCTATATTTGTCCTGTGCCATAACGCTGTGGTATCTTGGTGAAGGTTGGAGTTGAAAAACTTGGAGCAGTGAGTAGGAGCACTTGGGATACACTGCTGTGCTATCTACCTCAAATCTGACATAAAACGGATCCTGGAAGCTCACCTAGTGGTCTCATTTACAATTATGTAAATCTACTCATCAGCAAGCAGAATTTACTCTTACTTCCCTGACCTCTGTTACCATTATTTGTTAAGAAAGAGAGATCCATTTGTTTCCAAAGGAAAGACTGCAACCTGCTAGTAAAAGCAAGACAGGAAAAACTAAACCAGGAATTTTCTAAAATGATAAAAAATTGAGATAGATACCAATTGATTTTCACTGCAAGTAGGTAGAAATACATTTTAAAATAAGACTTTTCATTTTAGCAGCTATTTTTATCCTTTTAAAGTCACTCGATATTGGTTTTCTCTCTGAGATCTCATATATTTCTCCTCATAACATTTATTACAACTGGTGCATCCTGACTTTTCAAAATACATAATGTGGTTAATTAGTTGTTTCACATTAAGATGCAGGAATTGGGCATTAGTGAGGCAAATGAGGCTCTTCCAAGATTTTTTAGAACACCTTGGTGACAAAAGTGTCTTCAGAAAGGCAAGGGCTATCTAACTGCAGCTTGTTTGGCATTGTTTTCCAACAGCATTAGCTCACATCTGGCAGGAAGTATCGGCTTTAAAGGCTGCATGAAGGGTTTCCAGTTCCAAAAGAAGGATTTCAACTTGTTAGAAGAGCCAGGAACCCTGGGAATCAGTTATGGGTGCCCAGAGGATTCACTGGTAAGCATAACATCATCAGTGAGATAACAACAAAATTTTGGCAATGGATATAGCCAGGAGCTTGAGTGTTACTCCAAACGATGGAAAGAAAGTCTTCAACCAAGGAAATGACAATGCATTCATTGACTGGCAGGAGTGATGTGTATGTGTGTGTCATGGCTGCTGACATATCACCCAGTTTTCACCCTGAATTACAGCACAAGGTGTTTCACTTCCTATTCTTATATGTGAAACTGCAATATGAAAGCTGGTTCTGAAATAAACTGTGTGCTGTATTCTGAAAGGAAATATTCCAACATAATATGTTCTTTCTTAAAGAAACAAGGAGAATTGTCCTCACACACATCCTAATACAGATGTATGAAATAAAAAAGACAGCAAGATATTCACCCTTCAAATGAGTTCTCCCCTTAAGACAGGCCAGCTCTTCCTGTGTGATCCACAAACCAACTGCACCAGCATTAACACTGAGAAAATTGCCATTTCATTTCTGATCCTTTCCACCATTCACCATTTGTCCATTACAATGCAAGGCTGGTAAATCCAAACAGAGTTTGTGGTCTTTATCCTACAGCCATGTTCATCCAAAGCCATGCTGCGTAACTGTGAAGATGAAGAAGCCCACCACTTGTAGAACTCATCACATAATCTCACCCTCTGTCAACAAGGAAACTAGTTGTAATTCATCCTCAGACCCAGTTTTACTCCTGAGATTCAGAGGGTTATAGACCATCATGTCCAACACCCCCCTGCCCCGCCACAGCACTTAGTGCAGCATGCAAACTAGTATGTCACATGTTGGGATGGTGACTCAATGCCACACAGTTTAGACCCGGGCTTGAGCCCCCTCTGCTTCTAGTCTTCATGATCACTAACTTCAGCAGACTGAGAACGAGGCCAAGATCCCAGGAAACTGAGAACAATTTGGCTTACACTGTCTAAAATGGCTACATTTTCTTAAGATTTTCACGGCATGTGAGGGAAAGCCTATCTAAATTAGGTTAAGATGCATAGGAAAAATTGAAGGTTTTATAAAACTGAACTGGCTGCATCTTCAAAAAAGAAAGAAATAGGCTTGTTCTTTTTATGACTTGGATGTTTTCTGAGGTTTACTTGTAATTTTGTATTATTTAATACACAGATGTCCCGCAAAGCGTATTTCAACGGAGAAAGCTTCATTGCATCAAGCCCAAAAATGTCCCTCCTTGGTGACTTTGAAGGAGGCTTTAATTTCCGGACACTGCAGCCCAACGGGCTGCTGTTTTACTATTCTGAAGGAGTGAGTATATATTTCTTTAGAGTTTGTTTTATTTTATCCTCACATTGTTTCCCAGAAGAATACCAGGGGAACAATACAATTTCTCACTTCATGGTGTCATAATAGAGAAAGCAGTCTGCAGTATAGAAGCATTCATTGATGACCTCATTTTCGCAGTTTGCATTTGATCTACAGATGAAAACCAGCAATGCTTAGATATTATTTTAATGTTGAAAAGAGGATTTGGTCATACGCCTAGAATTAGCATGCATCCATTTGTGCTCAATAAAGTCCTTGGGGCAGAAATGCACAGTGGATGTTGCTGCGCTCAGCAGCACTGCAATCCCTATTTGGACCTGTAGGTGCTACCAAAGCACAAATAATATTAAGGGCTTGACATTTTCCATCCAGCGACAATCTCCTAGAAGCAAAGACAAAATTAGTGGAATGGTATTTTGAGCATTGCTGAGTTGACAGAAACCAGTCAGAAAGCTGTCTGTATTCCTAGACAGTATTTAGACCTCCATGTGTGACTGGGAAAAGCTGCACTTGAGAATGGCTACTTGCAGCTATGGGAAGCCAGGCTGCTCTAAATGCCCCCTCAGAGGTGTGATGTGGGCAGAAATATGGACTTGCACTCCCAAAACGTTGTGGGAGCCAGAGTGATTCCAAGATCCTGCAGGCACAGACTGACATCTGCAGCAAGCATGAGCTTAGATGACAGAACATTTGCAACCACCCCCAAATGTCTGTTCTGCCATACTTGCAGAAGATCACCCACAGTGCAGCAGGGAAGGCTGTATGACGCTAATAACCACTACTGAACTTTTACATTTTACAGCCTGGACTATTACCTTAAATTGAAATCAGTAACCATGTCAGTTATCCACATCATTTGCATAAATGAGGCCTTACACACACCACTTTGGTTTTAACTTAAACACTTTAATCCTATGAGGTGCCAAGTGCCCTACTTAACAAATGGAGGTTCAGCTATTTCACACTTGACAGAATACGACAGGATGATTCCTACAAGCGCACAGTGGCAGTGCTTGCTCTAACAGAACAGACACTATTCCTTCTATGTGACATGGTGATCCCGTATGCCTGACCCAGATAGCAGATCTTATCTCTGAGATAATTTTGAATGATTGAACAGGTCTGATCAGAGGGAATTAGGAAAAGAAAAAAATGTATTGGTCTTATTTTTTTGAATCTTGCAGTTACAGCTGCTGTGTACAGTACCAGGCCAGAAACACAAATGAAATGTAAACATCATACATCCATGCTAGACGGAAGGAGATCATGTGGCATACACATGAGACATAATCAGTAGCAGAATTTCCAGAATTCCGGCTTAAAAAACAGCAAAAATATCGATTCTAATGAGATCATCTCCTGGTTTGCTACTTAGTATACCTTTCTGCAAATAAAGCACAAATAGCAGGAAGAAAAATAAATACAACAGGAAAACACACAGAACTGTTAATTTTTCTATGTTACATTTGCTTATGAAGATGGTTTTGTCCGTATTTCAGTCAGATGTATTATCCGTCTCTATGGACAGAGGTGCTGTGGTTTTAAACGCAAGTGGAACCAAAATTCAATCACCAGACCGAAATTACAACGATGGAAAAACCCACTTCGTTGTTACTTCCATCACCCCAGAAAGGTAAAGCTGTCCAGCATCTTTTATTCCCTGCCTTTAGAATACAAATATTTCTTGTAAAGCACCTTATCATTTCATACTCACTTTCAAAGTGATGTTTAAGTGGGGTTTTTTAAGTGATAATTTTAACTGATCGATTCAGTTAAAAAAATACAAAGCCAAAAATCTATGTGATTGAAAACTGGCCAGCTTGGCCTTAGCACAAGATGTCGGGAATTTTTAGTAAAACTAAAATAACAGTTTTTCTAAAAATTTAGTCATGTTTTGTCCTCAGGGATGAAAGCAGTTTAATATTATGTAAAACTAGCCTAAGATTAATTTTCCAGCAGGATTGATTGTTCTGATTTGTTAAAACAATCCCAAATTGACCCTAAAGTAATTGACCATCTTCACAAAAAGCACTCATTTGGAATATATACAGTGGAACATGTTCAAAATATTTTTAGCACTGAAAAACACAAATATAAGACTAAATATAGCAGTAGGGAATAAGTCTCTCTATGTGCTTCTTAATAAAAAACTTGAAAGAATTGTTTTATTGCTATGTTTTACTGTTGTCTTCTATGTTTAAAATCTTCTTAGAAGGCAAATTAATCAAAGCACCTTTCTTCAAGAATCTTGCTTATTCAGATACAACCAGCTCATCATCAGTTTTCTAATGGAAATGGAGGTCTGTACCTGTGGCTTCTGACATCCAAGAAACAGTCTGAAAAGCTGAAGGTCCAAAAAGGTGCCTTGGAATAGCCCGGGGGACTGACATGTTTCCCTGCATGTGCTCAATTCCGAATTCGCCAAACAAAAGCAACGTCTGATGCTCTAGTTATACTCAATTTCTTATTAAAGCAATAGAATCCTTCCTGACTTCTGCAGGAATTAGTGTGCAAAATGAGATTAGGTAAAAACATTGTATTAATTCAGACATCGATGTACTGTGACGAAAAAGAAGGAAAAAGGGATAGGGGCATAAAGAAGAAGGATTAGCATGTGCTTAGATCTTATTTTACCCAAATGGTGGCTCCATTCATTTATTAGTAACCCCTCAGTTTATCTGTCTTCATTGAGAGGACTGTATTTTTCTGGACTTCACAATTAACTCAGGATATTATGAACTACATCAGCCTCTGGACTCAACTTTGCCAGTGGGTTACTGAACTGCTACTTGTACAGCTGGAAGCAAGAAGGTCTTCTCATGACTTTGAGCACCACCATTCAGTGATGTACACACTGAGCAAAGCATTTCAAGTGCATGTAATATGCTGTCTAACCACCGGCATTGACGTTTCTAAAACTGGCCTACAAAATGGATGCTTTGCCTTTGCAGTTATGAGCTGACTGTTGATGACAAGAAGCAAAGCAAGAAAAACCCAGCAAAGGACAGAGGAGGGAAAAGCCTGGACAGCGTCAAGAAGTTTTATTTTGGTGGCTCTCCCCTCAGAACGCAGCAAGCCAACTTCACTGGCTGCATAAGCAACGCTTACTTCACTAGGTGCGTAGCATCCTCCCAAACATATTACCAGGCAGTCGCTGCCTGACAGATCAAATAGTAGCCCAAGAGAACTGATTTATTGTCACAATAAAAATCCCTGTCTCATTTTGTGAGGATAGACAGTGTGTATGAATAACTTTCTTACCTTATTTGCCATGGAAACTGTTGGCACAGACCTGCTAGGTTAAGATACTGTTAAAGCGCAAATAACGATGTAAATCAGCTTCCAGTACTGCACCTGCTAATGCTGCTGATGCAATGTATAAATTGCATAGCTGTAATTTACATTTATATTATGTAGCTTTTAGCCCTGCCTTTGAAACAAAATGATATTAAGACATCTGACAGAAGATGGGGAAGATAGGAGTTTGGTCATGTGAAAATGGTCAGAATTTGTTGATCTTAATCACTTCATGAAATATTCTTATATAGAATATTTTAAAGGGAATTTGATGCTGCAGATTTGTACTATCTATTTATGCAAGCATGGATACAACAGGCAGTGGTAGTACAGGCTGTCGGCATCACCCAAACATTGACTGACAAATCAGTACTTGTATCCATGATCCAAGAATGTAAAAAAGCCCATCCAAACATTATTTAAACTATAAATGTAAAATTCTGTGATTTTTATGAAGACAATTCCAACGCTTGGAAAAAAAGCTGTTCTTATCATCTCCTCTCTGAAACACAGGTTGGATCGAGAGGTTGAAGTGGAAGATTTCCAGCAGTACTCTGAGAAAGTTCAGGCTTCTTTGTATGGATGCCCTGTTGAATCTCCTCCAGTTGCTCTTCTCCATAAGAAAGGAAAAAACTCATCAAAAGCCAAAGGAAACCGTAATAAAAAGGTTTTGCCCCAGTACCACCCTAGAGTTTTCCAAATGACACATACTGTGCCATGATTGGGAATGCTCTAAATCATGGATCCAAAATGTACCACATGAAGACTAATTCAGATATATGGAGGAAAGGATCCTCTTCCTCCATATATTCCATCACTGCAAATCACTGCCCTGACCCAATCTATCTGGCCTACACATGCATCATTCTCTCCTGCTAGAACTGTAAAGCAAAATTTATGACATCTTCAAAAAAGTACTGCAGAAACATGCCTTCTTGATTTCTTCAATATCCTAAAGGCAATAAGCTTGCTTCTGTTCTCAGCTACTTCTGTGTGGTGTGCTCTATTGGGTACAATTAGCACGCATTAATATTCCAGTATGCAGACCTTTTAGTCCGAGCATGTCCTCTTATACCTATAGTATAGTTGATGACATCATCAAAAGCAAAAAGGAAAACATTCAACTAGGAAAACTGCCAAAGAATTGAATTGTAATTATGTTAGCTACTCAAGTATTCCGTTTATCCCTTCTTCTGCCCTAAATCAGCATCTATAGTAGATCTGTTCACGGAAAATCTGACTTGGAATCATTCCTGGTATTTTTGCAAGGAAAAAATATATTACTAGCTTATATATAAATTATAGTGTCATTTTATTATGTCCAATCTTAGTTAAAACTTCTGGATAACGGTTCTCTTTCTATGAAGGTGGGAAGAGACAAAGACAAGATTTCACAGCCTTCAACTGGCCTCAAAAAACTGTATCAAGAAGTGAATATGCAAAGAGACCCTCAGTGCCACTTGTCCATGAATCCCAAGGCAACTGAACATGCATATCAGTTTGGAGGAACAGCAAACAGCCGGCAAGAATTTGATCACATACCAAAAGATTTCAGTCAAAGGTAAAGAGACCTTAATAACAAATATTAAATACACTGGGGAGGAGAAAGTTGTATTTCAAATTTTAAAAAAGGACAAATTTCTGCTGTTTCTCTGGCTTTTTCCTTTATACCTTAGGGCAATTTATGTTTAGAGCATGTTGTCAGAATATATTAAAAGGTGTTTCCATTGGGTACGAGCCATAAATAGAATGTGTTTCCAGTTACATTCCTCTTGTGCAGTCTTCATCTGCGTTGTATATTAACAAAATGCATCTCCTTGTATATTTGTATGAAGACTTTGAGGATGCTAGTTCTATACAAGCAATGCACCTTTGGTCTCTTTAAGCAAGAAGCAATGGCATTAGAGCAGAGCTGGAAAAGGACACAAGAAATAAAGCAGTTACATGTTGAGTGGACCTTGTCAGATGTTTAATGCTTAGGAATCTACAAAGTGCAGTAGGACATAAATCTATGAAAACCATTCCAAATTCAAGCCACAATGGAAATTCAAGTAATTAATAATGAGTCCAGGTATCATGGACACTTAATTCTGAGGCTTCCACAGAATATGCCATATGGTATGTTATGACCAACAAAGGATTTCAATACTTTCCATGAAAGAGTATAAATTCAACAATACAGCACTTCCTGGAAGCATACCAGACCATTAACTGAGAAAAGAAGATAGCTATTTCCTGACTTACACAAAAAAAAAGCATTACATTCCTTTTAATTCAATAGTGTTTTACTTAGGGCAGTCCTGATGGTGCCCACCTGAAGAAAGAAAACCTAAACTCCAATATGACACTTCATCCCTACAAGACAAATTTGGTTTATAACTGTTATTACATTGCAATGTGCAATTTAAGAAAACAGTGACCCATGATGTTTTAAAACAACTGATACTGGCAAGGGCCTAAGCGTGTGCACACACATGCAATGCGAAACATATAGATACTTCAGGCAATACGAAGAATGGAAGCTAGGCTAGTCACCTGACATGAGAATCAGGAGCCATCGGTTCTGGCATTGTCCTATACCAGTACAGCTTTGCCATTTTTTAGACCCGAAGTAATAATACCAATCAAAAAATCAAAAATCTCTGCTGTTGACAGTGTCAAACCAAGCCAGCATAACTTGCCATGTTGTCTTGGACTTGGACAAAGAACTACAAGGAAGGAGAAGCTCAGCAGTGAGTCTGGAATAACAATAAAGATTTGTGAACAGTCAGGCCTCCATGCCATCACAGTTAAAAAGTTCATCAACATTGCTCTTCAACAGGAATGGAAATGTAGTGTATAGAGTGTCAGTTATTGGTGGCCCATATTGATTTTATTCACTCCAGAGATTTTAACTTTTGAAAACAAGTTCCTTGCAAGGCAGCTTCTTCAACTTTGACTTCTACTCCAAAATCCAGTATGGCATGCTTCTCAGAAACACCACTTCCGTAAACGAGATGTGTATTCCTCTGGACGACAGGAAAATCTCAGTCTTCCTCTGTCTGCAGTTTGATTTAAGTCAATTATATCTGCTCTAATTTAATACTGTGTTTTTATGTGCCAGAGCTCAGTTCTCTATCAGTCTGAAAACTCACTCATCTCATGGAATGATTTTCTACATCTCGGATCAAAAAGAGACCAACTTCATGGCCCTTTTCGTTGCTCATGGCCGACTCATTTTTATGTTTAATGCTGGTCATCAGAAGATAAGGATTAAGAGCCAAGAGAAATACAATGATGGCCTTTGGCACAATGTAAGTAAAAAATAGCAATCATTATGATGGCACATGCTAGCAAGGCTGAAGTAAGACACTGCTGATGCAACAGCTCAGGGAGTTTTCATTCATGTGTTCATAACCACACCTATATATTGAGAAACTTCTGCCAATATTTTTAAATCTTCAATGTCGCATTTTATCAAGTCATTAGCTAGGGACAGGAAAGTGAGTCAGGTATAAAAATCCAGCAATTCCCAACACTAACAGCTGAATGTTAAGCGACAGAAACAAGCAGAGCAGCAAGGCAATTAAGAGTTAAGTTAGCTAGGACATGGAGGACTAGGATAATTTTGTTCAGCAAATTACTTTGAAGTGCCTAAGCAAGAAGCACAGCTGTCTTAGGCTTCCTCTGTAGTCTATGAAAATAAAAAGACAATTTTAGGGGTCAAGGTGAATTTCCCTCTGTAGGCACTCTCTCTCCTCAGTGACTACAGAGGAAGTCTACAGTTACTAAGGTTCTAACTTGGCCACTTAAGTGTTTAAAGCAGGCTGGATGAATGCAGACCATAAAACTGGTGAAGACCGTGAAAACGCTAACAAACTGTAGCAATTAATCATATATGTGAATACAAGATGGGCAGATCTCAGTAGACCTTGCAACACCTTAGTTACCTCTGCCTTGTACAGCAAAATATAAGAAGACAGCAGTTTTACTATCTAGCCTTTCCATGAACACGAAAAGAGGGTTGTCCATCAACAAATATTGGCAGTTAATAAAACAGGCTTGTAGAGTACCATTCGCAAGCTTTTCTTCTCAAACAGCTTACCTTCTTCCACTGCACAGGAGTGTTCCCTCAACAGATGAAAGTAATTTTCTAGATCTTTTTCCTCCCTTTCTAGGTGATATTTATGAGAGCCAAAAATGTTGGTCGCTTGATAATTGATGGTCTCCGAGTACTGGAAGAACCTTTTGGCGGTAATGCTAATACCTGGCAAGTCACTGAACCACTCTACATTGGAGGTGTAGCTCCCGGAAAAGCTGTAAAAAATATCCAGGTAAAGCAGACACCCATTACGTCATCCCATATGTACAACTAATGCAAAAGCAGACTCTAGAGATGAGTTCAGGCAAAAGCTCGGCTGGCAGTAGCTGGGCTAGACTTCTATAGACTTGCAGCAGGAGCTGGAAAGCCAGTGGTTTGTGAGGAAAACAGAAATCCTAATGACATCCAAGCTTAGATGAGACAGGTGAAGTTAGGTGAGATCAGTTTTACCCTAAGGTCTGAGAAATAGATGAGTTTTGGAGAGATTTTAACGTTGTCTTAGTATCTCTGTCTTAGGACAGTACCTAGAAGTCAGGATTCTGCTCTACATCTTGATTCTGAAGTATATGGAAATGAGTATTAAAGCAAAAATTAACATAACTAAGTCTCCTTCAAGGTAATTTTTAGTGTTATGTGCCTAACAAGATAGACAGACTACTCAGAAAAAGTAGACCCCTGTCTTGTCTTGAGAGTATGAGGTATGTATAACTGTCTTGCTCTAGTTATGCTTTGTTTCTCATAGTTCAATAAGGCTTGTTTGAGAAACAACACAAGCTGGGGTTACCTAGAAGTTGTCAGAGAGACATGAGAGGATATGAAAAGCATCTGTCCTGTTTTTCTTCTCTGGAAACTGCTTTTTAATCCAAAACTGATGCACCAGACAATCACAGTAACACATAAACAAGTACAAATAAGGACGGAAGAGTTTATTTCCTTCCACAAGCAGTTTATCTACTAATCATGCTTTTTTTTTGCCCCTCAGATTAACTCTGTCTACAGTTTCAGCGGATGTCTCAGCAATTTACAGCTCAATGGAAAATCAATTGCTTCAGCTTCGCAGACATTTAGTGTAACGCCTTGCTTTGAAGGCCCATCAGAAGCAGGAACATACTTTTCATCAGAAGGAGGATATGTCGTCCTTGGTAATACACTACTAAACAAATATATCCCACAATAAGACTGTAGTACTCACTATGCTTCAGAATGGCATATTTCACTAAAGTGTGTGGTAATTTCTGAAGCTGCGAGGTGTAAGGATTATTAGACACAGATCATTATTGTGGTAAGCAGCTGACATTGACAGGTCACAACATCACAATGAAACTTGACAAGTTGTTAAATACATACATCTGTATGTATGTATTCCAAATAATTTGAATAATTTCACAAAAGAATATATTATAATATGGTAAAAATTATCACAGACATATAGAGTAAAAATTACCATAGACATATAGAAGTCAATGTGGCTAAGACAAACTACACCAGCAAATGGTCATCCCTTGGTTTTTTAATTAATAAAACAACACGTAATTTAAAAATCCTAAGGAAATGCTTCCTGCATGTTTTGATAATGAACACAATGACAGAACACATCTTTTCTGTCATTTAGGCCTGCTGTGTTCCAGGAAGTGTTTTATGAGGGTTTTTTGATCACATAGGCTCTGATCTGAACAGGAAAAGGAACCGCGCAACCCTATTCATTGGCAACGCCAAGATGAATCAGACAGAGTTTCTAATTTGCTCCCTGGCCTGCCACCAGATTGGAAATGGGAGTTTCTTCTACTGAATCATCAAATCTCAAGCGAACTCTCACTTACTGTATAAAGACTGCTGAATGTCTAGCAAATTGCACAAGAAACTGACAAAAAAATACAGATATATCTCCTTCTGTCCATTTCATTGCTAAGAAACATTTTTAAACAAAATACATCTTTTTTAAATAATGAGAAAAATAAAGAAACCTTTATTAGTATCTAAGCAAACATAAGCAAACAAAAGGTGAAATGGGTCATTGACAGCACACCATGCCATCTCTTCAAGTATGTATACTGGCATATGGTTTCAAGTTTTAAAGACAGGGCAAGTAAGTTCCACCCTGGGTTTTGAATTTCTATTTTGACTTTGAATAAATGTCCAATTTCATCACTAACTCAGTATAACATGAATGTTATTCTTTTTTATCTCACAGATGAATCCTTCAGTTTAGGCCTGAAATTTGAAGTTGTTTTTGAAATACGTCCCCGAAGTAGCTCAGGAATTCTACTGCATGGTCACAGTGTGAATGGAGAGTACTTAAATATGCACATGAGAAATGGACAGGTAAATGAAGGTCACACTTCCTCCACTGCTTTGATTGGTTCCTCTCCTACCTACTTGGGCTCTGCTATATGCAGGTTTTGTCTTACAAATTTGCCATTAATTGATTCTCATTCCTCTCCTAAGTTTATTAACTGCTTACACTAGGCAACCCAGAAATTTATTTTAAAATACAAAAAATAGCACCTAAGACAAATTCAGATCACTTTACTGATACCAACTATAAATATTTAACGAGCAGTTGAAAAGAAGCAAGAGCACTGACTCTTTGGTGCTGCTCTTTCATCCACTCATTAAAAATGTATGACAGATACAAGTAAGGTAACTGTTGATGAGTGATGAGTTTTTACTTCTTATTTGTTAAAAGAGAAGTCAGCACTCTTCTCCCTTTAACGTATATGTGTGTGATGGGGAGAGTGAGGGAAAGCGAAAGTCTGTCTATTGATCTGAGGTTTCTACAGCCTCTGGATTTCAGTAAGGCTGTCAATTGAGAGAGAGAGGTTTGAAATGAACTTACCAGACAGTTCTTGCTGTTGTTATTTTTTCAGTATGTTCATCACTAAAATCCAGATCCCTTCATGCTATGTATTGCACACATACAGTAATAAGCTGCAGTCTAAGTGGACAAAGCAAACAAAGGTTTAGAGCACGGGAAATCTTTTTTTTTTTTTCTCCTTTTTTGCAGAAAAGGGCATAGTCAAGAGACTAAGCAGTGTGGATATTCTTTAACCACTGCAACACCCTACCCAGTAACTTAACTGTCAGCCAAAGTGGAAGGGTATATAAGTGAGGCTGGCTGCACCTCAGTTAGAAATGCAACACCTAAGGAAACATGCTGTCAACTCTCTTACAAGAGCAGGAACCTACAATACAGTGACTGAGTTTAACATGATGATTCATCCTGTCCTAAAGCAGGTGTCTAATATAGGTGACTAAACGAGCTGTCACTCAGAAAATCTATTTTTCTATATTGACTACAGAGAGGTGCTTCATTTAGGCACCTAACTTCTGACAGCTGATTAAGATAAAGTCCATTCTTACAGCTGTAGTTAGTCTTTGGTGAATTAACAAAGAACTCCTTAAAGCACATTGCATTGCTGTGTATCATACCACACTTAAAGGTTGCATCTGTATACAACTGGTCTAGCTCAGTACTTCTTATGTAAGATCTGATGGAACGTTTGCATGTCCAGAAACTTGTCTGGATTTCCAACTGTATCAGCTGGTCTAACAGAAGATATTGCCCCACTTACTGCTTCAAACCTCACTTCCTGTATAATGCATATGCAACTCATAAACAAAATTCGCCCTGGAAAAGCAGCTCTTCCCCGCTTGTCACTGCAACAGGTAGACCAGTTATCTTCTTAGTAAGCACCTGTGTTTTTTACCATTAACTACCTGCTCTCTTTGAATGCATTACCAAAGACTTGTTTTGTGAAAACATTTTTGCTGGACAAATAAGAATAACCAACACCCTTAATTCATTTTTTAAATGTACACATCTCTCTATCGGTACAGTTTGCCTGGGTGATTTATAAAGAGCCAGTTTCTTTCATGATTCTGTATTTGCTTTAATTGCTTCTATATATTATATATTTTGCCCAAGGGCAGATAAAAGAGAACATAATGGCCATTTCACTTTTGTTTGCTGGCGCCCTTGTGGAAAAAAGTTTCAAAATTTCTTAGTTACTACATTGAAACAGAGAACCTCTAAAATTAAATATAAGTTGTTTCCTTGCAACATTTTCAGTCAACAAGGTGTCAGCATTATCAGGGACAACTTAGACATTTGAAAAGCCTGAGTGGCTGGACACAGTGTTTGGAGTTCTCTGGCCATCGCTCCTGGGAATCTTGTGCCGCGCAATAGGGACATGACACTGCTCTGCCGCTACTGTAACACTTTCCTGCAGAAAGAATCACAGAATCACAAAATCACAGAATGTTAGGAGTTGGAAGGGACCTCTGCAGATCATCTGGTTCAACCCCCCCGCCAAAGCAGCTTAGCCTAGAGCAGGTCACACAGGAATACATCCAGACAGGTTTTGAATATCTCCAGAGAAGGAGACTCCACAACTTCCCTGGGCAGCCTGTTCCAGTGCTCTGCCACCCTCAGAGTAAAGATTTTCCTCATGTTCAAGAGGAACTTCCCATGCTCCAGCTTGTGCCTGTTGCCCCTTGTCCTGTCGCTGGGCACCACTGAGAAGAGCCTGGCCCCACCCTCTTGACACTTACCCTTTAGATATTTATAAATGTTGATATGATCCCCTCTCAGTCTTCTCTTCTCCAGGCTAAAGAGCCACAGGTCTCTCAGCCTCTTCTCGTAAAAAAGATGCTCCAGCCCCCTCATCATCCTCATAGCCCTCCACTGGCCTCTCTCCAGTAGCTCCTTGTCCTTCTTGAACTGGGGGGCCCAGAACTGAACACAGCACTCCAGGTGTGGCCTTACCAGGGCAGAGTAGAGTTGGGAGGATGACCTCCCTCAACCTGCTGGCCACACTCTTGTTAATGCAACCCAGGATGCCATTGGCCTTCTTGGCCACAAGGACACATTGCTGGCTTGTGGTCATCTCGTTATCCACCAGAACTCCCAGGTGCCTCTCTGCAGAGCTACTCTCAAGCAGGTCAACCCCCAGCCTGTGCTGGTGTATGGGGTTATTCCTCTCCGGGTGCAGGACCCTACACTTGCCCTTGTTAAACCTCATCTGGTTCCTCTCTGCGCAGCTCTCCAGCCTGTCCAGATCTCGCTGAATGGCAGCACAGCCTTCCATTGTATCTGCCACTCCTCCCAGTTTAGTATCATCAGCAAATTTGCTGAGGGTACACTCTGTCCCTTCATCTAGGTCATTGATGAATATATTGAATAAGACAGGCCCTAGTACTGACCCCTGGGGAACAAGATACTAATCCACATTACTAAACCAGAGGTGCAAAATGCAGAATTAGGTTCACTTTCTAGCTCTGCCAGAGATTTGCTAGTAAGCTTGAACATGTAACTTCAAAGTCATTCTGAAGTTCCCCATCTATTCCTTTCTCACATCTTGTCTGTTTGTTTATACTTGCGTTTTTCATGAATGTTTTGCTTATTAAGCGGCTAGCAAGATGCCAAAACATCATCTGATGCCTCTAAACACTAATTTGCCACACAGGAAATTACAGAGTAGCAGTACTAGAAAATTTGAGTGAAATTAGCTGTTATATTTTAATCTTTTTTTGAACTCTTCCTTGAGTTCAAATTGGAAATGCTGCAGAACTAGTGAATCTAAAAAAAAAAAAAAACAAACCCAAACCCTAAATCTGTGAATTAGAAAGGTGCTTTATTTTAAAGAATTTAATGAAATCATGGTTTTCTTTCACCTACATACTAGACATGTTCTAAGTGAGGAATACAGCATTATTACAACAGAAGGAAAAAGAGGACAGGAGTGAGTTTACAGCAACAAGTACATTATTTTCCCGCAGGTTACTGTGAAACTGAATAATGGAATCAGGGATTTTTCAACTTCAGTGACACTGAAACAGAGTCTCTGCGATGGGAAGTGGCACCGAATTGCAGGTCAGTAAAACATCCCCTAAGTAAGATGACAGACCCCAGTTCTCCCTTCCCAGATATCCATCTCCATGGCTTAGTGCACTCAGAACAGGGTCATATTTTCAGTTCTTCCTTTTCACCCGTCAAGACACAAGTTTGTGTGAAAGACACAGTCATATTCATCCCTCAGTAATAGGAACTGTAGAGCTCCCTGGGAGGACAAGCACAACTTCCTGCAAAGAACAAGGAAAGATGGAAGCTCCTTGTTCAAAGAACACAAGACAGCCCAGCTGAAATGCTGGCAACCTTTCCTGAGTTGTATACCAGATGATATTCTTTTCCCAATTAGAGGTTAAATAAGTTGGTAGAAGGTAGTAGGCACATATATAGGCTGCCCTTAAAGGTCAAATAACAGGACAGATCTGAGGAGCCCCTGCCTCACACAGAGAGATGTCTACAGTCAGGATTTTGCCTCTGTGCCAGACAACCATCCTTCTTTCCTGTGTTTGAAAGTCAAAAAGTACTTCTAAAGCTCAGGTACTTCGAACTCCCTTACCTTCCTGTCTAGATGCTGACTTGGCATGTCTGTCTCCCAGTGTCACATCCAGAAGAGACACAAGCGTGTACCCTTTCCCCACGCATTCTGGTTTCCTTCTGAAGGAAATCCAGGCGCACAAGCAAGGAGGAACACTCACTGCATTGTAGTACATCCCCCATTGGGAATGATTTAGCAAACAGTTTTTCTAAGCTTCATGCCATCGTAAGCTCGTACCCTGCAGCCCGGACACAGCTGCCACCAATCAAGAGCCCCGCTCAAAAGCACCCTTGCTCGCACGCTGTATCTTCCATCGGCCCTGCTCTATGCCAGAATCTGCCCACGTACTGTCACTGATGGCTCACACCCAATCTAGCAAACACTAAATCAAACTACTCAGATCAAACACATAACTCCTGTCTGTCACAGAAAACTCCCTTCTTACCGTCTTCTTGATCCCTGTTCCTTCTCCTTTCAGTTATTAGAGATGCTAATGTGGTGCAGCTGGATGTAGACTCTGAAGTCAACCATGTGGTAGGGCCACTAAATCCAAAGGCAATTGACCACAGGGAGCCAGTGTTTATTGGAGGCGTACCAGGTAAGTTTTTGGCAACTTTATGGTACGTTGTTCTTAAATTTCAACATGATTTCCAGAGAAAGCATAGAGACTTAGTTTTCATTTCAAAAAAGAACAGAACATATCTCATGTGAACAACCTGGTAAAATTCAAAGGCTCAAGAGCTGATCAGAAATGTTCTGCCTCAAGTTCTCAAAGGAAAAAAAAAAAGTGCTGGATCATTGAAATTAAAACATTCACAGTTGCCGGAGGGTCAGGTATGGACTCAGTAGAGAAGTCAGTCAGCTAGAAATAAATTGCTTTTTTTTCCATTTTACTTTCCAGTATTGGCTTCCTGGGTTTTTTTAAGAAGTGATTTATTTATTTATTGGATTGAAAACTGTCACTGTAACTGGAGTCTCAAGGTTTTGTTGCTGGTAGGCTTCTTTCCTCTTCTTCAAGCAATGGCATCTTTGAACACAAGACAAAACATGAAGATTCTTTTTCTGACTAGTGATTTCTATTGCACAGATGTCTGCTAATGTGAATTGGTGACTCACAGACCATCTGTGTAGCGTGGGCCAAGATTACTACATTTACTTCCCTTATTCAACAGACAGAGCTACTCTGTTGGGGTTCATACACAAACTGTAATCAACACTACGTGATTCAATTTTTAAGTCATCTCCTGTACATTTCTCATTGAAAACACGAAGCATTATTTCTCTGTGCCTTGCATGTCAATCATGCACAGCTCTAACTACAAAATTTATTATATTGCTTATCTTGGATTATTGGCTTGAGTGCGTGATGTTCTCATCCATCCCAGACTACCAGGAGGAAAAAATGAGCCTAAAGGGAATAATAAAATCTATGTGCAGATGCCTGTTCACTCTTTAAATCCAAACTGGAATTTTATTAGGACAGAACTCTTCCCAGAGAGGTAATATAAAGTGGTAATCGCAAATGCTGTTCTGCTTCATAATGGAGCCTTCTATTACTACATTAATTATAGAATACTAAAGCAATGCCATACCTTGGCGCTATGCTGTTATCAGGCTGGCACAGAAAAATCTTACAAAGAACTTCATGACAACAAACAAGATACAATACTAATACCATGTAAATATAGCAAACTAAATGCAAACCAACAAATCAAACACAGATGACAATACATGTAATGTTAAAAGAAACTACAAACACACACCCTGGGATTCATCTACTCTGTTACTTAAAAGAAAATGCAGTTGTCAAAAATGCAAGATTGGACCTCTATTGACTATGTAGTATCAAGTTTTACATAAATGTAGATAACTCTCCATACTTATTCTAATGGCCTCTAGGATGCTGGCACTACGTCAGACATTTTAAAAGACCAACAGAATATTCAGGAGAGCTTCAGTTAGTAGCAAACTGAAAGGATTCTGCCACCAAATTGGTTATTTTGGTCTTCATGAGCTGTAATTTTTATCTTTTTTTTTTTTTAAATCTGCTTCTTCCAGAGTCTCTGTTAACATCCAGCCTGACTACCCGCAACTCCTTCATTGGCTGCATTCGTAACTTCATGATTGATGAAAAACCAGTGAGTTTTAGTAAAGCAGCTTTGGTTAGTGGTGCTGTAAGCATCAATACCTGTCCAGCAGCCTGATAGTGCACTGCATCAATCTCATAAAGTTCCTTAGACCACAGAAAAGAAAAATAGAAAAAAAGAAACCATGTTTGTCGAGAGAAGAAGAATGAAAATATCAAGGATCCATCTACAGAAAGCAGTATGTTTAAGGTTTACTTTATGTGCAAACAAAAATCACTGAAGAATAAAGGGCTGTTGCTTCTGCACTTCTCTTACTATACCACAAGAGTGAGCTTTACCATTTCTTATAGTGTATGTGTGGCCAGTCTGTTACATGAAAATGTGGGATTGTAAAAGAAATGAAAATTATATTAAATATGTTACTTTCAAGATAGATCCTTTACATCATTTCATTCCATACCTTAGGTCACCCTTTTTGCAGGAAAAGATCTGCTAAGGCACATTAAAGAATAAAGCTAGATAACAGACTTACATAGCTAAAAAACTGTGTTCAACGACTTATTCTTTTTTAAATTTTCCATTCAACTCATTTATATATTCCTCAATTAAAGTGAGGGGCAGAGAGTACACCAAATACGTAAGCTTACAAACAATGAAAAACTAAAATTTTTATTCCACTTCTAGACTTCATGGATATGTTCTAGCACAAGGTGAAGATAGGATATATATCTTTTAAGACAGACACTTTACATAACTGATTATTTACCTAAACTAGGTAATTTTAGAGTGATACTTGCCTTACATAGGAAGGGAAAGGAGCAACAAAATTCAAAATTTCAAGTTTTTTCTCTAAAATTTTAAATGCATATACATACAAACACAGCACAAAATCCACGATCTCACTGTGATCTCATTTGCACTAATATAACACAAGTAAGCACAAAGGGCAGAAAGCAGAATCATAGTCACAGTTTCAGGCAAATCCTTTATCACATAAAATCATCACTTCCTTGTAAGACCGCTGCAGGACTTCAGTTTACAGCAGTAATCCTCAAACTAGGAACATGTTTCTGGGGAATGTATCTCAGAAGATAAGCTGCTGCAGAGGAACTGGGAGTGCAACAGGAAGACATAAACAGAATGCAAAGGGCTGCAAATCTGAGCTACATTAAAACCACAGAAGGTGGATGGAAGTTAACACTAGGCTTTAGCTCACAGTAGGCTTGAACATCAGACAGATACAAGTCACTTGCAAAACTTCGTTTCCTCAGTGATAACCTACAAGGCATCAAAGCCATTTAGGTTTCTTTAAAGAATAAACTACTGTTGACAGAAAGTTTTATGATTGCTGGGCAAATTATTGTTGGAACCAACTCAAAACATGACCAGCTGCAAAGCAGGAACATTTGAAAGGCAAAAATAAAGGACAACACCCTACAGACTAAAAACTAACAGCAGCTCATCTGGAAAACACACAAGTGACAAAATGGAATCCAAACATCTTGAACCCATGGACAGGTGGAGGAACCACCAGAATAAGATACATGTGTAAGCACTAATCAGTAGCTTCCCTAGTACTCTCTCAGTAGGAAAAGAGTTTTGATATATTGAAGTGGTCTTGGCTTACTCTGGATAAAGAATTGCAAGCTCTGGACAGACTGGCACAGGAACTCTCCAGCAGCTGGGACCCTGTCACTGCCCCATCACTTGTCTCTAGAGTCCAGTGTTGGGTGGTAAGCAGACAAGAGAAGATAGCAAGGCTCCAGCAGCCACTGCCTCTCCTTCCACCAGCCTTGTCAGCTCTGCTCACGCTTTCAGCCCCATACCCTGTTATAACTGCCTTCTACTGGACACATCTCACATTCTGTGCCCTGCAACTCTCAGGCAATATGCTCCCAGGACTGATTCCCTTCCCAATCCTGTAGGGAGGCCCCCTACTTCCGCAAATGGTATATAGCCCCCTCTTTTCATCACTCCATAGCCCACTGTTCATACTTCAGAAGCAAGCACTAAGACTGCCCCTCTGCAGTCTCTCTGAATCAAGCACATCATGGGTCTCCAAATCGAGCTGCCTTCAAATGGCATCCTGTCTCGGATACCAAAACCTGCTCAACTCTTTCCTGCTCCCAGCTGCTACCCAGACTCTGAACTGAAAACATTTAGGGCTTCTGGTTTGGGCATTTTTTTGTTATTGGGTTTGAGGAGCAATGTCCTCAGACCAGTGAGCTGGGTTCCCAGCAGGTACCAGAGGCTATGCATGGTGTCAGGGCTGTGCAGCTGGGAGCAAGGGTAAAAAAGGAAGTCTCTCTCCTTCCAGTGGCAGTGAGTCGTTAGACTGGCTCAGTCAATCTCATGACATCACAACCTGAGCTAAGCTTCCTCAGGACCTGGTCTCCAGGGCCCTATTGCTGGAGAGAAAAGAACAGCAGATTCCCTTCTTAGACAGGTTCCTTACAAGGATTACTGAAATTCCGTTCAAGTTTGTCTGCAGCTGCTAAGCAGAGATAGCCAGGAATAGCATATGCTTGTACCTCCTAAAAACATCACAGTTTTGTGAATGCTGGTATTAAGTGGAGCGTTGTATGTTAACTGTTACACACATACTCAGAACATTTCTCTGTCTTACACCTACTTTAAACTAAAGCATATTTTCTCATATCCACATCCAAGCTCTGTGAATAAACAATGTTTTTCTTAGCCATTTTTGCTGTAATGAGGTTTGGTTTTGCTCAGTGGATTTACATTTAAGAATTACTTTTCTGATTCATCGGTCCTTTGCATACTTTATATATGGAAAACTAAAAATACAGTAAATTAGTATGTGAATAAACTGCTATCATTCAATTTACTTCTTTACTGTATCACCAGCTGATCAAACACAGTGGTATTTGTGGAGGATATCTTCCTCAATTTTCCTTTCTAGGCCTCACAGATGCAGGTTTTCCCTCTGCAGAACAGGGTTTCCAAAGAAAAATACTATAACCCAGAGGATACTTGCAGACTCAGGAGAGATCAAAGAATAATGAACATTTCCCTGCCTCCAACATCCACCTAGACCTTGAAATTACCATTCCATATGCACCAAAGAAAGTCTGTATGTGATGCATTACATTACACACACCTCCGCATTAATTTCAAAGCTCCTGGTGTTTAAGGGAAGGTAACTGCCTAAGCAGAAATCTTCCCAAAATTCAATTTGTCTTCTGTGTCTAGCTTAAAAATTATAACTCCAAAGTACAAACCCCTTCATCTACAAAGCTTTGGGAAAAACCTCCAAGTTCTGAGGTACGTTGTCAGATTGTCCATTTGCATTTCCAATATGAAATAACTGTCTCAATTCTGCAAAAAGCACTCAAAAAAAACCCGAGCACTGACCCTAAGGAGATTATAACTTTTCTCTGCCACCCCCAAGGTTTTGGTAAGTGTTGTTATAGCCATTATCTAAATCAGGGCTACAACTACACTGTTACTATATTGTGGAATATTCTGAAATTTGACATTTGCATGGCTATTTAAGAAAGACTCCAACTTCAAGTTGAAATACTCAACAAACAGCTTCAAAATAGAGTATTTAATTAGGATCTCTGGCCCTCTGTCTCTTATTTCTGAAGATATGTAGAGATTTCCCACAGTCAAAGGTTCTTATCAACCTTTCCTTCTCCTCAAGAACCAAGAGGATGGACAACAGCCTAAAAAGGAAAAGGAAAATGAAAGATGAAGGGTTATGGATCTGATAGCAATTCCCCAAAAGCCAATCATTTTAAGTTAAAAAAAAAAAAAAAAAAAAAAGGGCCTTCATATGTGAACTAAGCCCTACATAAATCAAGGAATAACATTAGTTCAAATTCCAGTGTATTCTCCCTACAGCACCATGTGGCCTAAATAGTCAAATGACTGTCATTAAAAAGATGGTGAAAGCGTAGCACAAATAGTTAACTTCTGATGTAAATTTGGCTCTTGTTAAAGTTGGGATTTAAGGGTTACTCACAGATTCACAGTGGTTCATGTCAACACATTTCCTCTCAATAACATAGTAAGTTATTCCTACAATTCAATTATTCAATTTTTGTTCCAAAGCTGTGGAACGCTATTACTGTATAGCATTGACAACAAAACGTTACTGAGAAAATAAGGGCAAGAAACATGCATTAGTATAAGACTGTTGATTAAATGATTAACATAGACAAACATCTCTGAGGGGATCTGACTAGATCCATGCATTTATACCATGGTATATGAAGTACAGCTTCATCTACAATGAAACAGAAAGTCAGTGTGTGATTATTTCTCTCACATAGTTGAGCTGCCTGTTTCATTAAACCTCTGAGCACATGTGTCAAGCCAAACTGGTTATTACGCATCCACTTCATGCCCTCAGACCTCCTTTGGAAGCTAAAAAATATTCCCTCATGAATATGAATCTCTGTTGCTTCTCTGATTCACAGTGTTTCCAAGCTCAGTGAGAATAATCACTTTACATTTGCCATCACAGACCTCTTAATAGCATACTGCTAGCCAAAGCAGAGAGTTTCTTGCTGCAATCTCATGTTCAACAGAGCAAATCCCATTAAGCTGAATCTTGATGGGACTCAGAACACAAAACCTACAGCTCACTGAAAGAACAAGTAGAAAGTGTAGCTAATTACACAAGAAGAAAGCAAGCCAGATACCATAATATTAATAGATTTCTGTAGAGTTCAAATTAAGCTTTATACAGTATGCTTACAAGCAGTGTTTAGCCTAAGTGAGACCAAAAAGACACGTGAAGGGAAGACTTCAAGGACATGACAGTAGGCAAGAAGTACAGAAACAGTTTCACATCCAGTAGCTAGAACAAACCACTGCCTACATGTTTGGACCAGTTCAGCTAACCACAGGGAACAGAAGTAAGCTACAGGTTACATCTAGTCTGTCCAGAGAAGAAATCAGAAATTACTACCTGCTTTCCTGATTAACATTCACGTAGTTTTACACTGGTGATTAGTTTATAAAAGAAGTGTTAAGAGGCAGTATTACTCTACTCATGCTAAACCTTCCACCTGAGTGGAAGCTTGAGTAAACTTGGGCCACTCATTATTTTTCTTAAGCACAATACGAATTTCCAGTAGATGGATTCTTCTCTTTCAATTAAGCTTTAAAAAATTAGCCTTGATACGTATTTATCATACATAATGCATTATTATATTGTATTGTACAATGATGTATTTGCTGCAATACATACTTAATCTTTCCAGGTTTTTTAAAATAGCCATTTGTTATAACTTTATTTTCCTGGGGATGCATAATTGATCTCTACAGGATCCTAGGTCATGTCCAGGAGTCAGCATCATGGTTTCTACAAAGCAAATACGGAATTAAGCTATACTGAAATTCAGATCTCTATTAAGAATTTCATCTAGCAAATTTTGTCTGCACACCAGCACTGGAAATAATATATTTAGAAAAAGCATATTTTGTTGGATAGTTTCAGCCATAAAACCTAATGAACTGGGTTGCATGGAAGTACTTTTGT